TAGCATATATTAAGTAAAGGTTTCAACAGTTTGCACCCACATAGAAACACAAAGTGAAAAATACTGTTTGAGTACTAGTTATAACATTAAATCACAATGTACAGCACATTAAGGACAGAGATCCTACATGAGGAGTAAGTACATAGTGACTCCTGTTGTTGACTTAACAAATTGACACTCTTGTTTATGGCATCAGTAATCACCCTAGGCTCTAGTCATGAGTTGCCAAGGCTACGGAAGCCTTTTGAGTTCACCAACTCTGATCATATTTAGACAAGGTCGTAGTCAGAGTGGAAGTTCTTTCCTCCCTTCAGAGAAAGGTACCTCCTTTGATGACCTGTTCTTTTCACTGGGATCTCACTCGCAGAGATCTTTCATTTAGGTTTTTGTTGTTGTTGTTTTTGCCAGAGTGTCTTGGCTTTCCATGCCTGAAATACTCTCATGGGCTTTTCAGCTGGATCCACATGCCTTAAGGGCTGATTCTGAGGTCAGAGTGCTGTTTAGGACATCTGCCATTCTATGAGTCTGCTGTGTATCTTGCTTCCCATGTTGGATCATTCTCTCCCTTTTTGATTCTATCAGTTAGTATTTGCAGACACTAGTCTTGTTTATGTGATCCCTTTGGCTCTTAGTCCTATCCTTATGATCAATTGTGAACAGAAATTGATCACTGGGACTAGTGAGATGGCATTGGTACATGCCACCTTGATGGGATTGAATTGGAATCCCCTGGTATGTTTCTAACTCGATTGTTTGGGGCAAGTCAGCTTGAGCATGTCCTGAATTGCACATCTCTTCCCTCTCTTATTCCCACTCTTATATTTAACAGCGATCACTTTTCAGTTAAGTTTCAACACTTAAGAATAACTATGTATTGATTACAGTATTCAACAAAAAGTATTAAGTAGAACAAACAAAAAAAATACTAAGAGGGATAACGTATTAAGTTGTTCATCAACAGTCATGGCAAGGGCTGATCAAGTCACCGTTTCTCATAGTGTTCATTTCACTTTAACAGGTTTCCTTTTTGGTGCTTGGTTAGTTGTCACCGATCAGGGAGAACATATGATATTTGTCCCTTTGGACTGGCTTATTTCACTCAGCATAATGTTTTCCAAATTCCTAACAGGGATCACTTTTCAGATAAAATTTAAACGCCTAAGAATAATTGTGTGTTAATTACAGAATTCAACCAATAGTATTAGAACAAAAAAAATACTAAAATGGATAAAGTATTACATTGTACATCAACAGTCAGGACAAGAGCTGATCAAGTCACTGTTTCTCATAGTGTCCATTTCACTTCGACAAGTTTCCCTTTCGGTGCTCAGTTAGTTGTCGCCGATCAGGGAGAACATATGATATTTGTCCCTTTGGGACTGGCTTAATTCACTCAGCATGATGTTTTCCAGATTCCTCCATCTTGTTGCAAATGACCGGGTTTCATTGTTTTTGACTGCTGTATAGTATTCTATAGAGTACATGTCCCATAATTTCTTTATCCAGTCTACTGTTGATGGGCATTTGGGTTGGTTCCAGGCCTTAGCTATTGTGAATTGAGCTGCCATAAACATTAATGTGCAGACAGCTTTTTTGTTTGCCAATTTCATTTCCTTTGGGTAAATTCCAAGTAGTGGGATGGCTGGGTTGGATGGTAGGGTTATATTCAGGTTTCTGAGGAGTCTCCAGACTGACTTCCATAGTGGCTTAACCAGTTTGCATTCCCACCAACAGTGGATTAGTGTCCCTTTTTCCCCACATCCTCGCCAGCATCTGTTGTTGGTAAATTTCTGCATGTGAGCCATTCTAACCGGGGTGAGGTGAAACCTCATTGTGGTTTTGATTTGCATTTCCCTGATTGCTAGTGATCTTGAACATTTTTTCATGTGTCTGTTGGCCATTTGGATTTCCTCTTTTGAAAAATGTCTATTGAGGTCCTTGGCCCACTCTTAAGTGGGTTGTTTGTTTTGATGTTGTGGAGTTTCTTGATTTCTTTGTAGATTCTGGTTATCAACCCTTTATCTGTTGCATAGTTTGAAAATATTTTTTCCCATTCTGTTGGTTGCCTCTTCACTTTCCTGACTGCTTCTTTTGAAGTACAGAAACTTCTCAATTTGATGCAATCCCAAATATTAATTTTGGCTTTGACTGCCTGTGCTTCTGGGGTATTTTCCAAGAAGTCTTTGCCCGTACCTATATCTTGCAGGGTTTTTCCAATGCTCTCTAATAATTTGATGGTGTCAGGTCGTAGATTTAAGTCTTTAATCCATGTTGAGTGAATTTTTGTGTAAGGTGAAAGGTAGGGGTCTTGCTTCATGCTTCTGCACGTGGAAATCCAGTTTTCCCAGCACCATTTATTGAATAGACTGTCCTTACTCCAGGGATTGGTTTTGGATCCTTGATCAAATATAAGTTGGCTGTAGATGTTTGGATTGATTTCTGGTGTTTCTATTCTGTTCCATTGGTCTATCCATCTGTTTCTGTACCAGTACCATGCTGTTTTGATAACAACTGCCCTGTAGTATGTCCTGAAATCTGGTATTGTGATGCCTCCGGCTTTGTTTTTGTTGTACAAGATTGCTTTAGCTATTCGAGGTCTCCTGTTTTCTTGAAGTTTTATCATGCAAAAAACCTAAATATTATCAATGTATTCAACATTAACTCTTCTTTTTTTAGTAATTTACTTACTGCTGAGGAATCAGCTAAGAAATATGCTATGGTGCAGCAATCAGAAAGCTGCAGAAGCTCTTCGGACACACTGTTGCTTACAGGTAAAGAGTAATTGCTTTTGAATGGTAAATAGAAAGTACAGGTGAAAAGGTACAATCAGGAGAAATTGGGATATTAGTTTTCTTTGACCATTTCTTAACATAGAATATTACTTAGCTCAAAGTTAAACCATCTGGAGATTTGCCTGAAAGTCCATTATGCTAAATGCAGGAGTATATGACAAGATCTTAATCTTGCTGAATTATTTGCATTCATATTTTCTGATTTTCTGGTTAATTCTTATATGTAGAAGGGAAAAAAGAAAAAATAATAAAGGTATTACATAAAGCAGTCCCATATGTATAGTTTGTATTTGCAAGTTTGTAAGTTTGGTTGCAAATTTTAAATTTCCACATAGCTAATGGTAAAATTAAGGTTAAAATCTTTGGTTTTCTATGGTTTCCAAAAGAAGATATTTCAAACAAGGTGTATTTACAGTTTAACAAAATAATTTTGAGTTGAATTTAAATTTCTTGTGTATATTTAAAATGTATCTGTGTAAGTTAAACTCTTTTGTGTCTAAACTACTCCATTATGGCAATGGAACAGTGAATAAAATATTCTTTTTAAAAAATTTGGAATAATCACTAGACTGCATTTGGAGGCCAAAAACAAAATGAAAACAAGAACCCTGGGAAGTAAACACTATAGCTGGCTTTTACACCACGGGTTTCTGCTAAACCGTGGAGACCTCAAGTTTCAGCTCCTCTGAATATTAAGATTTCTCTCTATTGAGGCTAAAAAGTAATGGCACAGCAAACTCTGTGCCACAGTATTCAAGATTGTATTCATCATAAAATCTAAACAGGAGCCTGCGCTGTGGTGCAGTAGGTTAATCCTCCTCCTGTGGCGCCAGCATCCCATATGGGTGCCAGTTCTAGTCCCCGGCTGCCCCTCTTCCAGTACAGTTCTCTGCTGTTGCCTGGGAAAGCAGCAGCAGATGGCCCCAGTCCTTGGGCCCCTGCACCCACGTAGGAGACCAGGAAGAAGTGCCTGGCTCCTGGCTTCAGATCAGCACAGGTCTGGCCTTTGCGGCCATTTGGGGAGTGAACCAATGGAAGGAAGACCTTTCTCTCTGACTCTCCTTCTCACTGTCTGTAGCTCTAACTCTCAAATAAAATAAATAAAATCTTTAAAAAAAAAACTAAACAAATACATCTTCTTATTTAGACTCTTTATAATGAATTAGAATTTCTGACAAAATAAATTTTATAATCAAAATGTTAAATTTAGTAACCAAAAATGGTCAGATAAAATAATGGTTCCTTTCTCCTACTAAATATACAATAACTTTAACTTCTTGGTAGTTACAAAAATTGAAAAAAATTATTTACATGACTTCTGTGATCATAATAGCTTGAGCTTTTTAGAAATATTAGCATTTTGAAAGCAATGCCAGATATAACTTCAAGTTTTACCTTTTCCTAACGTGTGAAAATATAAACCATAATGAAATTTCAATGTGGTTCTATTTATTGCATTTTTTATTTCTTTTGCTTTGTAGGCTATTTCTGACTATTTTTCTTTTTTGGTTACTTGTTTTAAGCACCAAGTATTCAAGAGTGCATCGGTCAATATTCAGTTACAGATCTTCCAAGTATGGTGTCTATTGAGGAAGAAAGTCTTGTGATTGATCCTGTAAAGGCGGAGTGCCAGAAAAAAGCAAGTCTAAGTCCAAAGATGATAGGAAGTTTGGAAAACACAAACACATCTTTGGATCATTGTCTATCTCTAAATGATACTAAAATGACAATGTTTTTGCCTGAAAACATGCTTCAATTAGAATGTAAGTACATAATATTAAATATGACTTATGTGAACAATTTCAAAAAGAAAAAAAATGGTAAATACTGGATTTCCTGTTGGTGACTGGGGAAATATAACATGTCTCAACATTTTGGTTCTGGCTCTCCTAGGATTAAGACTTTTTGTTTTTCTTGGCCCCATTTTCTTCAAAAAAGAAAAAAGAAAAAATTTGACTATTACTCCAAAAGTTCTATTCTGTTTTAAAATTTTATAATCTCGGGGCTGGTGCCGTGGCTCACTTGGTTAATCCTCCACCTGCGGCGCTGGCATCCCATATGGGCACAGGGTTCTAGTGCCGGTTGCTCCTCTTCCAGTCCAGCTCTCTGCTGTGGCCCAGGAGGGCAGTGGAGGATGGCCTAAGTGCTTGAGCACCTGCACCCACATGGCAGACCAGGAGAAGGCACCTGGCTCCTGGCTTCGGATCGGCGTAGCTCCAGCCTTGGCGGCCATTTGGGGGGTGAACCAACAGAAAAAGGAAGACCTTTCTCTCTGTCCCTCTCTCTCTCACTGTCTAACTCTATCTGTCAAATAAATTTTTTAAAAAAATTATAATCTCAGTTTTTAAACTTCTAGCTACTTTCAATTAAAATAACTGTTTCTTTTTATAATTGAATAGTTGTGAGCACAGTTGTACTTTGTATATACATCAGCCTAGGCACAACCTAGCATTTTGCAGTAATGTTTTTTGACACACCAGCAGTGGGACATAGGCACTTGATAATAACTAGTATTCTCTCTTCAACAATATAAAATCTTCCTTTGTTACTAAAAAGTTTATTAATATGGCATTTCCTACTTGTATAATTTAAGAAGGCAAAAATGTCTTTTGATGTATCATTTGAGTTATTTTTGGTTGATATCTATGCCATTTTAGTAAACAGAACATACATAGCATAAATTCTACCTCTTTGAAGTATGCATATATTGTTTTAAAATCACTGTGTGTAATAACTAGTAAATTTATGTCTTAAAGAATTTTGGGGGGCCAGCGCTGTGGCATAGCAGGTAAAGTGCCGCCTGCTGTGCCAGTATCCCATATGGGCGCCGATTTAAGTCCCAGCTGCTTCGCTTCCCATCCAGCTCTCTGCTATGGCCTGGGAAAGCAGTGGAAGATGACCCAAGGCCTTGGGCCTCTGCACCTGTGTGGGAGACCTAGAAGAAGCTCCTGGCTCCTAGCTTCGGAACGGTGCAGCTCTGGCTGTTGCAGCCAATTGGGGAGTGAACAAGCAGATGGAAGACCTCTCTCTCTCTCTCTCTCTCTCTCTCTCTCTGCCTCTCCTTCTCTCTGTGTAACTCTAACTTTCAAATACATAAATAAATCTTTTTTTTTAATTTTTCAATTGATTTGTTATAGAGTAATAATATATGTAAAAGTGAATTTTAGTAATTATTATGTATGTTGGGATACTATATATGTTGGAGTGATTTCTAAGACAAAAGACAGAGGACAAGAGTTGTAGCACAGTGTATTAAGCTGCTGTTTGGACTCTTGCATTCCAGATCGGAGTGCTGGTTCAAGTCTGGGCTGCTCTTTTTATCTAGCTTCCTGCTAATAACCCTGGAGGAATTGGTTCAAATGCTTGTGCCCCTGTCGGGTTGTGGGAGACCTAGGTTGAGTTCTCAGCTGCTGGTTTTGGCCTCTCCCAGCCCTGGCTGTTGTTGGTATTTGGGGAGTAAGCCAGTGGCTAGATTCTCTCTCTCTCTCTTAATCTGCCTTAATTTTTTTTTAAAGTGCTTGGGCATGGTAGGTGGTAGGAAGTAAAACAGATACACAGATTATATCAAGCAAATGTACAAGTCCACCCCAGAATATATATATATATATATGTATATATATATATATATATTTACAGGCAGAGTGGACAGTGAGAGAGAGAAACAGAAAGAAAGGTCTTCCTTTTTTGTCGTTGGTTCACCCTCCAATGGCTGCCGCAGCCGGCGCGCTGCGGCCAGCGCACCGTGCTGATCCGATGGCAGGAGCCAGGTACTTCTCCTGGTCTCCCGTGGGGTGCAGGGCCCAAGTACTTGGGCCATCCTCCACTGCCTTCCCGGGCCACAGCAGAGAGCTGGCCTGGAAGAGGGGCAACCGGGACAGAATCCGGCGCCCCGACCGGGACTAGAACCCGGTGTCCCGGAGCCACAAGGCAGAGGATTAGCCTAGCGAGCCGTGGCGCCGGCCCCCAGAATATATTTTGAAAGAGATTTTAAGTCAGGTTGCTAGACAAAAAGCAGGAAGTTTTTATGGAGTCTTCAAATATCTAGATAATGTATTGAGTCTATAAAACTATGTAAAACTCTTAGGTTACCCATTTGAGGTTAAAATAAAACATTTAATTCATTTTAATAGCCAATAGAATTATAGTGATGGTGTAATTCTGAAGTTTAAGAAGCAATAACCATTTCTGGAACCCATAGCTAAGTTAGCAGGGTAGGGTACTTAAAGGGAAAATAGTAGAGGAAAATAACCAGAAATGAAATAATAAATAATCCCTATCACCTTGCTAACCATACTGTATGATCTCTAGATAACATCTCAGAGATTATAAATTGGTAGCACCCAAGTTCTATTGATCCCACTCATTATTAACTCATGTAATTACTTACCAACATTTAAGAGTTGGAAAATTTCACAAATATGATCTGTATTTTAATTTTATCTTTAAATGTTCAAAATATGAACTCAGAATCTCAAATGGCAAGGTTATCTGGGGCCCTTAGCATCTTACCCGTTTAGATAGGCCATGCACTCCCTAACTTTCCAGAGTCCTCAGCACTTACAAATTGATGGCAGGTGTTAGTTGGCATTTGATATAGCTCTTACACTTTTGTCATAGGCTCAGTACAGTTAAGAGAAAAGTAAAATGTTTCAGTTAAGATGAAAGTGAAATGCCTCAATAAAAGCAAAAACTAAATCAAAAAAATTTTAGATCACATTTTGGAGGGAAATAATAAAATTTTTATTATTTGAACACTAGCCATGTATGTGTTCATACATTTATATAATTTAGTTGGCCCTATAGGCATTTAAGGTTTTTAGCAAATCAACTTTTTGAAATGTAATTTACATGTAATAAACAGCACCCAGTAAACTGTATAGTTTGATACATGTGGCAAGTGTATGTGACTGTGAAAAAGCCACCACAATTAAGATATTTTAAAAAGTTTCCCTGTGCCCCTTTGGAGCCATTCTCCCTCCATCTCACTGCTCTTCCCCTCCAGCCTTCACCCTGGACTCTTGGCAATCACTGGTCTACTTTCTATCATTATATATTAGTTTTCTCTACTCTGGAATTTCATGTATGTACTCTTATGTATCTGGCTTCTTCCACTTAGCTTTTTAAAATTCATTCATGATGTATATATCACTAGTTCATTTCTTTTTTTATGAGGAATTTGAATTTCCTTCCCAGTTTTTTATTATTGTAAATAAACCTGCTATGAATATTCTTGTACATGTCTCTTTGCGGACATATGCTATCATTTCATGAGTGAATGTCTAAAATTAGAAATATTGAGTCTCATGGTAGGTATATGTTTAATTTTATAAGAAACTAATAGATTGTTTTCCAAAGTAATTTCACCATTGTACATTCTACTAGTGATGTGTGAGGGTTCCAATTAAACTATATCTCTGACAATACATGGTATTGGCAGTCTTAAATTTTAGCCATTCAAATGGTGTGTTGTGGCTTTCCATTGAGATTTTATTTGGATTTCTGTAATGACTAATGATAAGGAGTATATTTTATGCATGCATTACTACTTTATATATTTTAAAAAATACAGCTTTGTTGATCTATAATTCACATGACTTACAGTTGACCTATTTAAAGTATACTATTCAATAGTTTTTAATATAATCACAGAGCTATACAATCATCATCATGCTGGCTCACTCCCCAAATGCCAGAAACAGCCAGGGCTGGGAAAGGCTGAAACTGAAACCCTGGAACTTAATCTTTTTCTCCCATGTGGTCGTCAGAGACCCAAAGACTTGAGCTATCACTTGCTGCCTCTCAGGGTGTATATTAGCAGGAAAGTGGAATGGGAAAGGGCGCCAGGACTCCAATCTAGCCACTCTAGTATGGGATATGGACATCCCAAGCTGGATCTTAACCACTGTGCCAAATGTCTGTCTTGCCAATTTTTAAATTGTGTTGATTTTAAACATTGAAGAGAGCTTTATACATTTTGGATCCAGTTCTTTGTCAGTTGTATGTGTTGTAAGCGTTCTAGTCTTTGGCTTTCTTGGTTTGTAAGTTTTTGACTTGTAGTGTAACTGTTGCCTCTAAGACTATGACTACCAATAAGGCTTTTCGGGAACTGTTTCTTTGCTTTGTTACTTAGCTCTTGTAGTAAGAAAACTAAGTACTAAATTTTTATCCTTTTAAACAATTTGTCTTATTCAGACTAACAATTATTTTAAAACCAGGAAACAAAGTACTCTTAAGGATCAAATTCTATTAATAAAACAATCACAACTAAAAGTAATCCTAATCAAATGCTTGTTTAAGCATGGAAATAATTTAGATATTTTTCATTTTCTGTTTTCAGCACATTTAGAGGATAAAAGTTGTCCTTCACCTATTATACTTATTAATGAGAAATCTACAAATGATCATTTATCACTTCCACGAATGAGTCTACCTCTGGCAGAAGAAGTAACAGATATGTGTTTTTCTGATGATGGTATCTCTACTAAACCAGCAGCAGCAGAAGAAAAATCACAGAATGATCAAGAACTAGTAGATGGAATAACCCAAAAGAATGAAAATAAAGATCATTTTGAGTTTGAGTACACAGAACCTTCTATTGAATCACCTTCCACTTCAAGAATTAAAAAAACATCTTTCAAGAATTGCAAAAAACAGGATAACTATTTGGACCCTCTGAGTGACTTTATTATGCTGCGAAATAAATATACAACTTGTATATCAAGGACCAAAGTCACAGACAATGATGAAAAAAATGGTGGGTAATTTCATAATATTTTGGTATTAGTATGATAGGTTCAAAGAGTAAGTACATAATTTCTTGCACATGGTAAAGACTCAAAGCTCTTGTAAGTGAAATTACATAATTTTTCACAGTCAAGGAAAATGTCGTTAGTTCACTATACTTCTTTTACATATATGGAGATAGACATGAATATACAGATATGTGTTTTCCAAAAAATTTAAAAGTACATTTTAATTTGTAACAGAAGCCACTATTTGTAAAAACTTGCTATCTACCCCATATCTATCATAGTCCTTCTAATTTTTGTTGATCATTCCACCATTCTTTTTTCTTTTTTAACTGACAGCTTTTTCCGTGTTTCTCCTTATTTTTTAGTGTGTACTTTAGGACTTTCTTTGTCCATTTGATTGCTTATTATTATTTCTAACATTATCAAAGGATTTCTGTTTGCATTGTAATTGTCTTACATTCACAGCTATGACCAAATCGAAAGTGTGTAATGTGTCAGATCATTTCACTTCTGGCAAAAAATTAGACATTCTAGAATAATTTTGATGTAAGTTGCCTTTACGAAGCAAATACAAAAATATTTATCTGAGCTAGAGCATAGCTCACTTTCCTGTATACTATTAAAGGACACAAGATTGAAACGTATAAGGGCCTTTTGAAAATCTGAATAGAGTTATATTACTTTATCATTCAGTATATTTTTTACAGTAAAAGACTGGGTGAAAATGCATAATAGTATTTAAAGATTTCAGAATTTTGTGCAATTTACAGTTTTTATGTAATAGATTGACCACCTTATAACTCACCTTGGTAAGTTATAATTCTAAATATAACTGAGATCCTTCTAACCAATATTTGCACCATAATTCAAGCATAACTTCTGCATAAATGAATGAGCAAAATATTAAGAATTATAAATGTGATACAAAAACAGGAATTTTTAAAAAGATTTGTTAGCTTCAGATTTGTTCATGTTTTCAGATTCTGCTAATCTTTGGCATAAAAGAGAACTCCACTCCAAAATGAACACTGATATGCTTTTCTGGTTGTCATACTTATGCTAATCTCTTATATAGGTATATTAGTGGGGAGGGGATTAAGATGATGGAGTAGGGAGAGAGCTTACTGCTCTAATCTAGGAGAAGATAGTATTTAAGAAGTGGAAAGAGTGCAGTCTCGGGGAAGAATTAGGGAGAAAACAGCAGAGGAAAGCCTATGTAAATTAGAGGGATGCAGTGGACCTACATGGAGGACATGGATACCCACAACTCAGGACCTCAGCAGCTGAGAGCCTCTGCACCAGCATTGGAGAGTGAGGTGGGACCAGACTTCCAACAGCCCAAGCCACTAGTGATAAGGCTGCAGAAAGAGCATAGAGGGAATTTTGTTTGGAGCCCCATAGGGGATAGGGTACTTACCAAAGCTAGAGGAGAAAAAAAAAAGGAGAGACACATTTCTCTCTCCCCAGTCACCCTGCAATGGGAGTCCTGTAACAAGCCAATAGAGAACGGGCATCATTTTGGACATATGTAACAGCTGTACCAGCTCATGTCCATGCCCGATGGAGACTCCTGAGTCTGGTAGGGAGAACTTATAAGGAGCTGAGTGCTTGTGACTATGGGAGGCTTGTGTGCCAGGACTGTGAAAAAATTGAGGCTGTGTGGGAGGGCTCCTGGTGGGGCTGGGACTTTGGGAGGCTCCACATGCTCAGGGCTCCCTGGTTACCTGGTGAGGGACATTGCTGAGGAATCTGAGCTTATAATGAGGACTGCACAGATCCTCTTGTGTGGTCCTTGGGACAAAGCAGATGAATATTATACCTACTGGGGCTGGTGCTCAGGCACTGGTCTGTAGTATATGGACTCCAATACAATAGTAATGGGGGACTTCAATACCCTGCTTTCAGCAATGGACAGATCACCCAGACAAAAAGCAGCAGAGTTAATTGACCCTATGGACCAAATGGACCTTACAGACATCTACAGAACTTTGCATCCTACATTTGCAGAATACATAATCTTCTGACCAGTGCATGGAACTTTCTCTAGGACTGACCACAAGCTAGGCCAAAAAGCAAGTCTCAGCAAATTCAAAAAATTGAAATAGCATGCATCTTCTACAGACTACAATGGAATGAAACTGGAAATCAGCAACTCAGGAATCTCTAGAGCATATGCAAACACATGGAGACTGAACAACATGCTTCCGAATGAACAGTGGGTCATAGAAGAAATCAAAATAGAAATAAAAAAATTTCTGGGAATAAATGAAGACAGCAATACAACATATCAAAACTTATGGGATACAGCAAAAGCAGTGTTAAGAAGAAAGTTTAGAGCAATTGGTGCCTTCATCAAGAAATTGGAAAGGCACCAAACAAATGAGGTTTCAATGCATCTCAAGGATCTAGAAAATCAATAGTAAACCAAACCCAAACTGGTAGGAGAAAAAGAAATAATTAAAATTAGAGAGGAAATAAACAAAACTGAAACAAAAAAAATACAAAAGATCAACAAAACAAAGACTGGTTTTTGAAAAACATAAACAAAATTGACACATCTTTGGGCCAACTAACCAAAAAAAAAAGAGAGAGAGAGAGAGAGAGAGAAGACCCCAATCAATAAAATTAGAGATGAAAAAGCAAATGTAACAACAGATATCACAGAAATAAGAAGAATCATCAGAAATTACTACACAGAGCTGTATGCCAACAAACTGGGAAACATAGAAGAAATGGATAGATTCTTAGATACACAAAACCTCCTAAATTGAGCCATGAAGACAGAAAACCTAAACAGACCCATAACCAAGACTGAAATTGAATCAGTAATAAAGACCCTTCGAACAAAGAAAAGCCCAGGACCAGATGGCTTCACTGCCATTGACAAAGGAGCTAAAACCAATCCGTGGAGCAAGGACAATCTCTTCAACAAATGGTGCTGGGAAAATTGGATTTCCAAATGCAGAAGTATGAATCCAGACCCTTGCCTTACACCTTACACAAAAATCCACTCAACATGGATTAAATACCTAAGTCTACAACCCGACACCATCAAATTATTAGAGAACACTGGGGAAACCCTGTAAGACATTGGCACAAGCAAAGAGTTGTTGGAAAAGACCCCAAAGGCACAGGCAATAAAAGCCAAAATTAACAAATGGGATTACATCAAATTGAGAAGCTTCTGTAGTACAAAAGAAACACTCAGGAAAGTGAAGAGGAAACCGACAGAATGGAAGAAATTATTTGCAAACGATGCAACAAGTAAAGATTTAATAACCAGAATATATAAAGTGATCAAAAAACTACACAAAAAACAAACAACCCAACAAAGAAATAAGCAAAGGACTTAAATAGACATTTTTTTAAAACTTTTATTTAATGAATATAAATTTCCAAAGTACAGAAAATGTATTACAATGGCTTCCCCCCCGTAACGTCCCTCACACCCGCAACCCTCCCCTTTCCCACTCCCTCTCCCCTTCCATTCACATCAAGATTCATTTTCAATTCTCTTTATATACAGAAGATCAGTTTAGCATACATTAAGTAAAGATTTCAACAGTTTGCTCCCACACAGAAACATAAAGTGAAAAATACTGTTTGAGTACTAGTTATAGCATTAAATCTCAATGTACAGCACACTTAGTACAAAGATCCTACATGAGGAGTAAGTGCACAGTGACTCCTGTTGTTGACTTAACAAATTGACACTCTTGTTTATGGCATCAGTAATCACCCTAGGCACTTGTCATGAGCTGCCAAGGCTATGGAAGCCCCCTGAGTTCACTGACTCTGATCATATTTAGACAAGGCCATGGTCAGAGTGGAAGTTCTCTCCTCCCTTCAGAGAAAGGTACCTCCTTCTTTGATGACCCGTTCTTTCCACTGGGATCTCACTCACGGAGATCTTTCATTTAGTTTTTTTTTTTTTTTTTTTTTCCCCAGAGTGTCTTGGCTTTCCATGCCTGAAATACTCTCATGGGCTTTTCAGCCGGATCCACATGCCTTAAGGGCTGATTCTGAGGCCAGAGTGCTGTTTAGGACATCTGCCATTCTATGGGTCTGCTGTGTATCTCACTTCCCATGTTGGATCATTCTCTCCCTTTTTGATTCTATCAGTTAGTATTTGCAGACACTAGTCTTGTTTATGTGATCCCTTTGGCTCTTAGTCCTATCCTTATGATCAATTGTGAACAGAAATTGATCACTGGGACTAGTGAGAGGGCATTGGCACATGCCACCTTGATGGGATTGAATTGGAATCCCCTGGTATGTTTCTAACTCAATTGTTTGGGGCAAGTCAACTTGAGCATGTCCTGAATTGCACATCTCTTCCCTCTCTTATTCCCACTCTTATATTTAACAGTGATCACTTTTCAGTTAAGTTTCAGCACTTAAGAAGAATTGTGCATTGATTACAGTATTCAACCAAAAGTATTAAGTAGAACAAACAAACAAAAAATACTAAGAGGGATAACATATCAAGTTGCTCATCAACAGTCAGGGTGAGGGCTGATCAAGTCCTTTTGGCTAAGATCAAGTGTAGTATTTGTTCTTATCAGTTTAAATAGACATTTTTCAATGTGGCCATAAGACACATGAAAAAGTGCTCAGGATAACTAGTCATCATGGAAATGTAAATCTAAACCACAATAAGATTTCACCTCACCCCTATTAGAATGGCTTTTATACTGAAATCAACAAACAACAAATGCTGGTGAGGATGTAGGGAAAAAGGTACCCTTATCCACTGTTGGTGGGAATGTAAACTGGTAAAGCCACTATGGAAGAAAATTTGGAGATACCGCAGAAATCTGAATATAGACCTACCATTATGACCCAGACATCCCACCCTTGGAAACTTACCCAAGGGAAAAAAATCAGTAAATAAAAGAGTTATCTGCACCCCCATGTTTATTGCAGCTCAATTCACAATAACTGACATGTAATCAACCTAATGCCCATCAATTGAAGACTGGATAAAGAAATTATGGGACATGTACACTATGGAATACTACACAGCAGTAAAAAAAAAATGAAATCCAGTCATTTGCACCAAAATGGATAAATCTGGAAAACATCTTATTTAGTGAAATAAGCCAGTCCCAAAGGGGAAAATACCATATATTCTCCCTGATCTACAAGCACCTAAAAGGAAATCTGTAGAAGTGAAATTGACACTTTAAGAAGCAATGACTTGTGCATCCCTTGTCTTGACTGTTGAGGAAGGTTTTTTTTTTTTTTTCTTCATGCTATTTGTTGAACTCTTTACTTAACATAGAGTTAATCATATGTGTATAAAGTCAATTGAAAATAGAGCTCAGTAAAAAATAAGAGTGGGAATAAGAGAGGGAGGAGGAAGTTTGTAACTGTAAAGCTGTATAGTTCTGCATACATTCCTACAGACTTATTTCTAAGGGTACATTTTAAAAACTTGCCATGGAACCCCAAAACCCATTAAGCTCAGTGGTAAAAATGCCATCTTAAGTGTTAAAGTGAATGTATAGATAGGATTAAGTGTTAAAGGGATCATATAAATAGGATCAAGTGCCTGGTAATAATAATAGAATTATAAAGGAGAAAATGTTCCAACATGGGAAGCAGTCCACACAGCAGACTCATAGAATGACAATTGCTTTAAGTAGCACTCTGACCTCAGAATCAGCCCTTAAGGCATCCTGGTCTGACTGAAAAGCCCATGGGAGCATTTCAAGCATGGAAAGCCAGATATTGTGCCAAAAAATGTTCTACATGAAGGATCTCTATGAGTGAGACTCCAGCAGAAAGAAACGGACCTTAAAGGAGGATGTACTTTACTCTGAAGGGAGAAGAGAACTTCCACTTTGCTTATGGCCTTGTCTAAATACTGAAGGAGTGTGTGGATTTAAAAGGCTTCCATAGCCTCAGAAGCTCATATTAAGAACCTTGGGTGGTCACTGACATTAAATTAACAACAGGCGTCACTGTGCACTAACTTCCCATGCAGGATCTCTGTCCTCAATGAGTTGTATTATGAGAGCTAACTGTAAAACTTGTTCTCAAACAGTTTGTATGTATGTGTTTGTGTGTGTGCATGCAAATTGTTGAAATCGTAGTATAGAGTTGTCTTCTGTATGTAAAGTTATTTGAAAATGAATCTGAACGGAGAATGGGACTAGGAAGGAGGAGGAGGGGTAAGGGTGTTGGTAGGAGGGCAGGTATGGTGGGAAAAATCACTGTATTCCTAAATTATACTTATGAAATTTGTGTTCCTTAAATAAAAATTTTCTTTGGGGGGAAAAATAGGTATATTAGTGACAGAAAATGAGGACAAACAACAAGAAAGTAGAAAAAGACAAAAAGAATTTTTCTAGTAAAAATGCTATTAATTTACAAAATAGTTAAAGAAATATTAATGTTACTTGGGAATGCTTCTGTACCCCTGATGTTTCATCAGTTATTATTATGTTCCTGGCCTCCTTGCCCCTTTATATATTCTTCCCTGAAGGGTGGAAAGATCTTCCTGAATTGTACATTTGAAAAGAAGAAGTTGGGCATAAGTCTCTGAAAGTGAACAGCCCAGAAGGAAAAAGCATTCTCTTCTATTTCTCTATGTCATGGTTCTTTCTTTTCCCAATGGGGAATCCTATCCCAATAGCATATTCTGGTACTTGGTAGGTAACTCTGCCTAACTCTGGTATTTACTTAGCAAGTTCATTTGACTGTCAAACTAAGCTCTAGTCTCCAATTAGTCTTTATTAACAATAGTGGTAGTATCTTGGTATGTATTTTACTTTTTTTTTTTTTTTACTGCTGAATCAGGGGCAAGAAATGTTACAACTTATTAGGTTACCTTAAAAATTCCAATAATGAATATTATTTGGTCATATCTAATCCAATGTCTAGTTAGTTGAAAGTATTATTTGAAAATAATAACAACTAATTTAGTTTAATATATTCATTTTTATGTTTTTAGCCTTATATTTAAAACTCATATATTAAAATGTTTCAAGATGATAATATGTTTCTTAAGTTATAATTATATCATTGATGAGTAACATTACAATCTAGTTAAAATTAAAATATATATTATATGTACACTCATATATATATATTATAATGCATCAGAAAGAAAACATTTATTGAACACATTGTTCCAATGATTAAATTACATATATAGAGATAAATGTGATACTGTTGCTGACCTAAGATGCTCATGGTATAATAGAGGACCTGTAGATTGTTCATTTCCATACCATGTGAGACGTGCCAGGAGAGAGGCATTCGTTAGAGTACTGAAAAATCAAAAAGGAGGAATGCTTTGCTGGCCTGGTAGTGAAGGAGGTAGTTAGATTAGATTTCTATTAGAGGGTTGCTGGGAGCTGAAAGTGAGTAGTGAGGTCTAGAGACAGAGAAGGTTTGGGGAGAGGAGATGATTTAATAGCCAACAAAAGAGTAAATGGAGGAGCTGATGTAGCAGGTTGAGCTGCCACCTGTAGTACCAGCATCCCACATGGGCACCTATTCAAGTCCAGATGCTCCACTTCCTATCCAGCTCCCTGCTAATGTGCCTGGGAAAGCAGCAGAAGATATCTCAAAAGTGCTTGGGCCCTGTACCCACATGGGAGACCCAAAGGAAGCCTCTGGCTCCTGGCTTGGGCCTGGCCCAGCCCTGGCCATTGTGGCCATTTGGGGAATGAACCAGCAGATGGAAGGCCTCTCTCTCTCTCTGTCTCTGTGTGTGTGTGTGTCTCCTGTCCCCCCTCCCACAGTAACTCTACCTTTCAAATAAAATAAGTCGTTTTTTAAGAAAAAGAACTGTAACATTTTTAAAAAAAAAAGAGTAAATGGAAAGTCACAGAGAAATGAAGTAGATACTTATTACTTATGTGTTTTGGTGAAGAAATTTAATAGCTGTGATCATATTTTTGAAGACAGTAGTAAAGTAAAGCAACATTAAGTTTCTCCTTAACAATATAATTTTGTTTTTTATTAGCATTTCAAGATGAAGAAGAATGTTCATTGACTCTTCAAGAAGAAAGTCCTATTGTTTGTGGTAATAAAACCCTAGAGAAAATAATTCCAAAAAGGGGAGTAAATAATGTCATTGAAATTCAAGCATCAGGTATGCTACATGCTTTTTTTTAATGATTTTATTTATTTATTTGAGAGGTAAAGTTACAGAGAGAGGGAGAGGTAGAAAGATCTTCATCCACTGGTTCACTCCCCAAATGGCCACAATGGCCAGAGCTGGGCCGATCTGAATCCAGGAGCCAGGAGCTTCCTCTGGATCTCCCACATGGGTGCAGGGGCCCAAGGACTTAGGCCATCCTCCACTGCTTTCCCAGGCCATAGCAGAGAGCTGGATCAGAAGAGTACCAGCCGGACCTGAACTGGCTCCCATATGGGATGCCAGCCCTGCAGGCGGAGGCCTAGCCTATGACGCGCCCCTGCTACGTGCTTTTAAAATGCATTAAAATTGATTTGATCTGAAAGCCCTTTCCTCGATACCTAGGACATAGCTTATTTTCTATGTAATTTTCTTCACTTGTTTGAAAGATTTCTTCATTCCACTACTACTTTCAAGTTTTTTTTCGGATCTAGAATGCCCTGTTCATTGCCACTGCCCCTGCTCATTGCCCTACCTGAGTGTACTTAGTATCATCTCTTCCATTATTAAAACTGCTGCTGCTTCCCTCCATTCAACAGAGAAAAACGTGTGACTCTGCAGACTCTTCTGCCTAGCCTGGAAAATGAACTGCTAATGGTTGCTCCCCTGTTCTATTCCTCACTCTCAGGGTGACAGACAAAAGTTACTATCAGTTCCTATATTGACTCATATTTTTGTTCTGCTGCAAAGAATATTCTTTGACTTCTAAAGCATAGCCTACTTAAGAACTGCATGCTTATTTTTAAGATCAGTAAGGAAATAATGACACTAATCCTCCAGTGTCTTTTTATTCTTTTGGTTCAATTTTATTTATGCTCGCTTGATGATTTTGCAAATCTTTAAATAATCATATCCTAGTATAAGTTGGAAATAATTAGTCATTGTCACAAATTTGCCTAAAGGTTGTAAACTAAAGCTGGAGGAAGGAAAAGCAAAAAATACTACGCTTCTCTTTATGTGACTCTTCCTAGTTTGCCATGTTAGTTACTGAATAAATTATTTCTAACAAATAAGGGAGCCATAAAATTATATAATTCTACAGAGGCTGTGTGTTTTTATTAGTCTATTTAGAATAAACATCCTAAAATAAATCTCTACACTATTTCATTATTTTTTTATTTTTATTTTTTTTATTATTTTTTGACAGGCAGAGTGGACAGTGAGAGAGAGAAACAGAGAAAGGTCTTCCTTTGCCGTTGGTTCACCCTCCAATGGCCGCCACGGCCGGTGTGCTGCGGCCAGAGCACCGCGCTGATCCGATGGCAGGAGCCAGGTACTTCTCCTGGTCTCCCATGGGGTGCAGAGCCCAAGTACTTGGGCCATCCTCCACTGCACTCCCAGGCCACAGCAGAGCGCTGGCCTGGAAGAGGGGCAACCGGGACAGAATCCGGCGCCCCGACCGGGACTAGAACCCGGTGTGCTGGCGCCGCAAGGCGGAGGATTAACCTAGTGAGCTGCGGCGCCGGCCACTATTTCATTATTTTTAACTCAGAAAAGAATTTGTAAAGATGTTCACATTTCCTTGAAGTAACATGTTCAGTTTTATCAAAATTGTTTATCAAAAATTTACCCTAACAAAATATTACTTTTAATGATTTTGTTTTTGTAGATAGCCAATGCAAAGCATACTGTCTTCTAGAAGCAGCAGCTGCTCCTGTCTTAAAAAAACTTGCATGCCTCTGTCCTTTCCCTGCTGCTAATTGGAAATTTGCTACTGTTATTTTTGATCAAACAAGGTTCTTCTTAAAGGAACAAGAAAAAGTAATAAGTGATGCTGTTCACCAAGGTGAGGGCAAATCAAAGTCACATTATTTAAAATTATATGTGTTTGGATTATTGTATCATGCTGGTAAAAATTAAGCATAGAAGATTCAGATATTAGCCATGGAAGAAGGCATAACTGTAAATTCATCTTAGTTTGGTTCCCTAAACCTGTACTGAAGGAACAGCTATGTGAACAGAAAAAGATAAGAAATATTATCTGGTATTGCTTCTTAATAAGCTCCTAACTGACATATATTGCTTGACAAAATCCTATAGCAGAAATTAAATTTACCCTATTGTTATAATCTGAAGCACACAGTCTCCTCTGGTAAGAGCCGTAAAACAAAATTGATTTATTAAAGTCAACCCTGGAGGTTTTTTTTTTTTTTTGGCTAAGATGGAATAAAATAGACCAGATTTATATAACAACAACAACAACAACAAAGACAAAAATACATGAAACCAGTTTTTTAGACCTCAAATATCAGGCAATATCTCAGTGATTTCTGAGAGACAGGAAACAAATGAGGTTGGCCCTACCGATACCCTAGCTTACTACCTTGGAAGAGTCGCCAAACCATGACATAGGGAAGGTACCTGAGGCAGAATCCAGTGGATAATTTGAGTTGAGGGAACAAAACAAGAGTCCAGGGGAACCAAAGTGGCTAGAGTTCAAGAACAGGATATTAGAGAGGACAACATCACATGGACAGTCCTAGAGATGTGCACAAGGACCCTTTTGAGTATTTGGCGGAGTACTGATCAAATAATATATGTGAGGAAACTACCTATGGCTGGGGAAACAAACCATTTGAAAGGATTAGAGAGAACAGTGTGCTGCAGTCACATAGAGCAGGGAATAATGTGTGTTCCCACCAGCCGCACTAGAAACACTCATAATTCATGGGAATGAAACACAGTACCCAGAAGAGTCTTGCCTTATTAGTGGGGAATCATTATCCATAGATTGAGCACTGCTGTGGAGCTGCATAACAAGTCATGAAAGCAAGATCCAAAGGATTCAACTATTCCCAAAGAACTAAACTTTGTTATGTATACCACATCAAAGCTTAAGAGGATATGTATGAACACACAAATACCCATTTTACCAACTGGCTATTTTTTCAAAGTAAAATCTGCAATGTCTGGCATCCAATCAGTTTAACAGGCACACGAAGAGTCAGGAAAACCCAACTCATAATGAGAACAGTCAATCAAAACAAACCCAGAACTAACAAAAGTAGTGGAATTATGGAAGAAGAAACTGGTAATTAGTCCAGGCCCAAGAAAAGGGAAAAATAGGAAACTCACCGTTGTTTGGTGGCATTTTGAAATCTGAGCTCCTGCCCCATTCTGCCTACTACCATTTACTCTTCAGAGTCCTCAGATACTGTTCCATGTGTTCTGTCTTGTGTTTATAAGTGTTCTCAGTGAGAAAGATGACATGGAGTGTGCTTATTCATCTCACCTGGAGCCTACTTGATTTTATTTAGATATTGATTGATTGATTTGAGAGGGAAAGGAGAGAGAGAGAGAGAATGGTACCAACGGCTGGTTCACTCCCCAAATAACTGCAGCAATCGGGGCTGGGCCAAGCTGAAGCTGGGATCCAGGAACTCAATCCAGATCTCCCAAGTAGGTGGTAGGACCCAGCTACTTTAGCCATCACCTGGTTTCACTCAGGGTGCACATTAGCAGGAAGCAGGAATTGGGAGCGGAGCTGGGACTCAAACCCAGGCACTCCAGTTTGGGATGCAGTGTCTCAATCAGCATCTTAATCACTAGGCCAAATGCTCAGCTCTTGGTCTCACTCTTACATGCAGAAAAACCCAATGTATCATTTTCAGAAAGCTCTGAAACTACAAGGAGCATAGTAATTAGGCAATTGGCTTATCCCTGTGAATGTATCTGTTGTTTGGGTAATTGTTGGACAAATATTCCCAGGTATCCACCTCCATTTTAAGGTCTTTTTAATGCAATGATCCTCCATCCTTGTCTTAACCAGTTGGCAAATTGTGAACTTAATTTTCTTCTTGTTTCATAACTGATACTCATTGAGCTTTTCCCAACAATAGAAATAACTGAATATTCATTGGAAGCAACAAGAGCATAGGCTCTAAGGTTAGCTGTCTGGATTTGAATGCCAGCTCTGCCACTTACTCACCAGTTGACCCTGGACAGTTTTTAACCTCACTAAAACTACTTATATTTATTTGTTCATAAGATGAGGCTCATAATGAACTTTTCTGATATGATTGTTATTATGGAGTCAATGAAAGAAGCAGTTTATATACAACATAGTGCCTGATAAGCACTCATTAATAAAGTTAGCTATTGTTACTAGACACATTCTGATTGATATATATATATGTACACTCAAATTCTAATATATGTGTTTTTAAACATTTTTGCTGACTTAGGTACAAATGATGAAAGAGAAATGACGTTCAAGTATGCCGCTGTCTTACACCTTCTGGTAACAATTAGAGATGTCCTCTTAACATGTGACTTGGACACAACATTGGGTTGGTAGGGGAGATCTTGTATCCCCTTTTCTTTTTCCTTTTTAAGATTTATTTATTTATTTGAAAGAGTTAGAGAGAGGAGAGAGAGAGAGACAGAGAGAGAGAGAGGTCTTCCATCTGCTGGTTCACTCCCCAGTTGGCCGCAATGGCTGGAGCTGCGCCCATCCGAAGCCAGGAGCCAGGAACTTCTTCCTGGTCTCCCACATGGGTGCAGGGCCCAAGGACTTGGGCCATCTTCTGCTGCTTTCCCAGGCCATAGCAAAGAGCTGTATTGGAAGTGGGGCAGCTGGGACCTGAACCAGTGCCTATATGGGATGCCGGCACTTCAGGCTAGGGTGTTAACCCGCTGTGCTACAGCGCCGGCCCCTCCCCTTTTCTTTCTATTGACATATTTCATCTGAAATAATTTTTTCTTTTTTTAAATATTTTTAAGATTTATTCTTATTTATTTGAAAGGCAGAGTTACAGAGAGAGAGAGGGAGAGATAGAGACAGATATCTTACATTTGCTGGTTCACTCCCCAAATAACCACAATGGCCAGGGATGGGCCAGGTCAAAGACAGGAGCCAGGAACTTCATCCGGGTCTCCTGCTTGGGTGCATGGACTCTAGGACTTGGGCCATCTTCTGCTGTTTCCCGGATGCATTAGCAGAGAGCTGGATTAGAAATGGAGTAGCTGGGACTAGAACCCATGCCTACATGGGATGCCATCATTGCAGGTGGTGGCTTAACCTGTTACATCACAATGCCTGACCCTGAAAAAATTTTTCTGAAAAAGACATACCTTATAAAATTATGTAAACATTATATACTTTTTGACATAATTAAAATGGAGTAAATATATTTTAGTATCCTTATGTTAAGAGAAATTATCCTTAAAACTATCATATATATTTTTCTCTTTTTTTAACGATTTATTTATTTTTATTTGAAAGTCAGAGTTACACAGAGAGAGGAGAGGCAGAAAGAGAGAAAGAGGTCTTCCATCTGATGGTTCACTCCCCAATTGGCCGCAACGGCTGGAGCTGCACCAATCCGAAGCCAAGAGCCAGGAGCCAGGAGCTTCTTCTGGGTCTCCCACACCAGTGCAGGGGCCCAAGGACTTGAGCCATCTTCTACTGGTATCCCAGGCCGTAGCAGAGAGCTGGATCAAAAGTGGAGCAGCCAGGTTTCGAACTGGCCCCCATATAGATGCCGGCGCTTCAGGCCAGGGTGTTAACCCACTGCACCACAGCACCGGCCCCAAAAAACTATCATCATCTAGAAAAATAGATTTAGGATTCTGTAATCTAGATTCCAGTTAGAGAATCCTAATGGCCATAAGCAGTTTTGATTGTATAATCATTATCATGGACTGCTTTTGAATGTGAGATTTGACATTTTGCCATTTACATTTTAGGGCCTCATTTCATGTTTGTGGATTTGACTCTTTGCTAGATAAAATGTAACTAAATTATAAGGAGTAATATCTTTTTAAATTTATTTTAAATTGCATGTATATATGAATATATTATGTAATAAAATCAAGCTATTTTGAACATATTAAAAATTTTGAAATTTTAGGGAATTTTTCCCAACATGTCAAAATAATTTAAATGTATGTTTTACTACACTACTGATTTAGTCCTCTAAATCATGGCAAAATAATTTAAATGTATGTTTTACTACATTACTGATTTAGTCCTCTTATTGCAGGATTCTTTATATGAAGTAGTGGTATGCTTAGGGGATTATGTTTTATAATTTAGAATTTCCAGAACCTATATTAAACAAAGTAAAACTAATTTTTCTTTGATCTAAGACCCAGACATTTTTTTCTTATCTATGACCCTGATATAATATCATTTCTCTAGTGCAAGGTTTTGGTAAGTACTTAACAACAATGATTCACAGTTATATTCCTTCTATAGCACTGGGAACTCAGATACTCTACATTCTGATATTCTGCTTTATTATTATGCATTAATAGGGGGCCAGCGTTGTGGAGTAGTGGCTTAATCCACCACCTGTGACACAGGCATCCCATATGGGCACCACTTCAAGACCCTGCTGCTCCATTTCTGATCCAGCTCCCTGCTAATGTGCTTGGGAAAGCAGCAGAGGATGTTCCACGTACTTGGGCACCTGCACCCATGTGGGAGACCCAAAGGAAGCTCCTGGCTCCTGGCTTCAGTCTAGCCAGCCCCTGGCTGTTGTAGCCATTTGGGGAGTGAACCAGCAGATGGAGAATATTTCTATCTCTCTCTCCCTCTCTCTTTATGTATCTGTCTCTCCTCCCTCTATGACTTTGGTTTTCAAATCCATAAAAAATAAATATTTAAAAAATATTATGCATTAATAACCTACCTGTCTTTTTATAGAGATTTAGAAGTGCAATAAAAAGGAATGGCTAATAGAAGAGCATGTGACACTATGGTACACTATTTCCATGTACCATAAGCCAAGGTATAGCTTCTAATCTTTATTTTCTAGGAATGGAGATAAGACAGCCTGGTTAGTATCAACACTACAGTAGTTTAATAGGAAAAGAAAGGAAATTGGGCTTCATAATTTAGTTTTTTTTTTTTTTTTTTTTTTTTTTTTTTTTTTTTTTTGACAGGCAGAGTGGACAGTGAGAGAGAGAGACAGAGAGAAAGGTCTTCCTTTGCCGTTGGTTCACCCTCCAATGGCCGCCGCGGCCGGCGCGCTGCGGCCGGCGCACCGCGCTGATCCGATGGCAGGAGCCAGGAGCCAGGTGCTTTTCCTGGTCTCCCATGGGGTGCAGGGCCCAAGCACCTGGGCCATCCTCCACTGCACTCCCTGGCCACAGCAGAGGGCTGGCCTGGAAGAGGGGCAACCGGGACAGAATCCGGCGCCCCGACCGGGACTAGAACCCGGTGTGCCGGCGCCGCTAGGCGGAGGATTAGCCTATTGAGCCACGGCGCCGGCCTCATAATTTAGTTTTAATACTTAGCCAGGTACATATATTGATGAAGTGCAATATGCTCAAACCTTGGAATAGAAAAATAATAGTTATGAATATTCACCTTTAAGTACCCTACAATTTATCCTGGGATAAGTGTGACCATTAAGAGCTATATGCTTAGATTGATTTATTCTTGTCCCTGAAGAATTACCCTTTATTATTTGGCTACCTTGGGAAATAATATGAAAGTAAAATTCTTGTTGGAAAACGAACTTCTTTGGTTCTAGGTACCAAGTCATAATAAGTGAACAAGCTATCTTTGTCTTTTTTTTTTAAAGATTTATTTATTTATTTGAAAGTCAGAGTTACACAGAGAGAGAAGGAGAGGCAGAGTGAGAGGTCTTCCATCTGCTGGTACACTCCCCAACTGAACGCAATGGCCGGAGCTGTGCCGATCCAAAGCCAGGAGCCAGTAGCTTTTTCCGAGTCTCCCATATGGGTGAAGGGACCCAAGCACTTGGGCCATCTTCTACAGCCTTCTCAGGTCACAGCAGAGAACCAGATTGGAAGTGGAGCAGCCAGGACTCAAACTGGCACCCATATGGGATGTTGTGGCTGCAGGTGGCGGCTTTACTCACTACGCCACAGCGCTGGCCCTTACCTTTGACATTTTTAGTGAAAGACTTTCTAACTCCTCTAAACTTCTTGAAAGCAAAGATAAAATTGTAGTGTCCTCCTTTCTTTCTCCCCATATGAATGTAGTAGCAAAGAGAAAAAAAATATGACTGAAAGCTGGCCTTGTTCACTCCTAGAATTCTATATTTTTCTCTTAGTTTCCAGTTTGCTTCCTTGCCCAAGCTAGCAAGATGAGTTTTAAGGCTCACAGTACAGAGTTTCCCTTCTGAGTTTTGACCCAAATATAAATTCAGTATTTATTGCTGAATATTATGAGTATTATAATAATGGAGTCAAAATGGATAGAAACTGTTAGCCTTAAGATGACTATATTTTTCAAAACTCAAGTTTGCCAAAAACATGAAGTATAAAAGAGTACTCTATATATAATTCAGTCCAAAATGGCCCACTAGTATGTGCCACTGGTTCCATGTGGCTACGTTGAAGGAGATTAAAATAGAAAGCAACAGGAACTAAGTCTGGAAAAGCAAAAAAAAACAAAACAAAAAAAAAAACAAATCATGAACCTACACAGAAGAATTCGGTCTTACTCTATTGAAACAGGGATGCAACTGGATTAGATTTATTTTTTCAAAAAGTAAAATCTGGGGGACCGGTGCTGTGGCTCAGTGGATTAAAGCCCCAGACTGCAGTGTCAGCATCCCATATGGGTGCTGGGTTAAGTCCTGGCTGCTCCACTTCCAGTCCAGCTCCCTGCTAATGCAGCTTGGAAAAGCAGTAGAAGGTAGCCCAAGTGCTTGGGCCCCTGCACCCACGTAGGAGACCTGGAAGAAGCTCCTGGCTCCTGGCTTTGGCCTGCCTAAGTCCAGGCTATTGTGGCCATTTTAGGAGTGAGCCAGCAGATCTCTCTCTCTCTCTCTCTCTGTAACGTAACTCTGCCTTTCAAATAAGTAAATCTTTTTTTAAAGAAGTGAAATATGATTGCAGCATAGAGAAATCAGTGGATATTTTGACAATTAAGAGGCAGAAAGAACATAAGTCTATCTCTAAATTGCTCATCAGCCTAGCAATATATAAAATTTTAAGATAAATTATAATTAATGTGCATATACGCAAAAATATATGAATATAAGCATTAAGATTTTAATTTGTTATTTCATTTATTACCCAAGTATTCATCAAACACCGTATCTACGTAAATCACTATGCCAGGTGCTGCATTGCAGTAATCCACAAAATTCACTGTGCAGCAGAAGCACAGGAAGAGATTTTTAGATATAAAAATCCTTGAAATACTACTAGACTTACCGAATATGAGTCTTAAAGATGAGTCTCAGGAAAATACGTTTAAAAATTGCCCGTAGAGTCTGAATTTAGACACTGTTGTTTTAGCAGCTATAAGTAAATTCTGTATAAATATCATGTGTTGTTAAGGTTATATGAAGTTAAGTCATATATATAAATAACCAGAAATAAATAACCAAAAAGTCATATAGGTAAAATATGAAGAAGTTTCCAGGGAAGCAGAATTTCAACAACCTACATGCAAGTATATGTCGTAGGATTTAGAGTACAGTAGCATTCAGCAAGCTAGAAGGCAGGAAAGGATAGGATATATTCAGGGAATTTGTAGCATATATCCAAGTATATTGGTGTTACATAATTTAAGAAGAGATATGTGCTACATATTTTTCAGCTTCACTACCTTTTAAAGTTTTCATTAGTCAATGTAATTTTTTTAAGATTTATTTATTTATTTGAAAGTTAGAGAGGGAGAGACAGAGAGAGAGAAATCTTCCATTTGCTGGTTCACTCCCCAAATGTCCGCAATGGCCTAGGGCTGGGCCAGAACCAAAGCCAGAAGCCAGGATCTTCCTCCAGGTCTCCCACATGGGTGCACGGGCCCAAGCACTTTGGCCATCCTCCACTGCTTTCCCAGGCACATTAGCAGGGAGTTGGATTGGATGTGAAACAACTGGAACATGTACCAGCAGCTATATGGGCAAGTGGCTTTACCTGCTATGCCACAATGCTGGCCCTAGTCAATATCTTTAATTAAAGTCAGAAAATAGTAAATAAAATTTAAACAGTTGCTGTTATGACTCATTTCCTTTTGACTTCTGTACTATGGAATTTCTCAAAGAATGAAAAGACTTATGCTTTTTTTCCCCCTAATTTTGCTTTAACAGGATATTTATCAAATGCAAAAGATGTCTACAAAAGTATTTTAGGCTCCTATTTGGATGACATTTGGAGACAGCTGGATATTGTACAGTTTATTAAGGAAAAAAAGCCTGAAATCAACTACCGAATACAAGAATTGCAATGTCAGATAGTAAATTGGATGCAAGACCAAGAGCAAATTAAGGTTAAGTATTAGAATAAGTGAGATAAAAGTATATGTCAGATAAAATTTTGCATTTAAGTTTGAAATTATGAAATAGCCTATATTATTCGGCCACTTGACAATCTTCTCCTTATGTGAGGTAACAGAATGGAATCAGACTCGGGAAAAGGAGAAGTGGCATCATTACTCATGTGTCTCAAATTTAAGAGTACTTTTCTTTCTGTTATATGTAAGTTTTTATGGAATGGTTCTCCAGCTGTCAGAAATTGTGTCTGGTACCTGATGTACATCCAAAGCATACACACAATAAGCCAGAGACTCATCTTACATGATTGTACCAAAAAAGCCCTTAATTTATGCCTTGGACTATAGTGAAAATTATTTGCCCACTCTATCTCAAGCATCTTAAGGTTGCATTAATGAAGATTTAAAAGAAAATGCTTCTTAAAATGCTATCAAACAGAAAAGCAATTCAAATTGTTTAAATCTGGATACAAACTTATGCAGCCTTTTTCTTCTTTTTTCTCTTGATGTCTCCTATGTCTTTATATTTTCTGGTGCAGCTTTCTTAAGTCATTAAAATAAATGAAATCAATAAAAGAGAAATTGTTAATTGAAAGTGATTTGCTGTCCCCCTTCCCAAAATACTGTAATGGTGAGTAGGAAAACATAGCAGCAAATCATTTGTTTTCTGTAACAAATTCAAATATGTCTGAGTTGAATTTAACACTAACACTATGAATATAGACAGAGACAACTTTTGTGTTGATAGACACTTCAAAAAGTTTGTGGAGAAATGAAAAAAGGTAAGTTTATTTTGGTGAAAAAAATTTAAATACCTGCATAGTTTCTTCATAAGATCCACTTTCCATGAAATATTTTGAAGACTGCTTGAATGTGAGAATGCTTAAAGAATGCTAAGGCACCCTAACCCCCAATATTTTCCTCACTGATGTTTGATCTTATCAAAATTTATTTGTTTGTGTTTAAGCATTGACATCTCTTACAGCAGGAATATTTACCTTGTAGTCTTATTGTCATTAGTTTCATGTGATCAGTTAAATTTGTTATTTTGTCACTGAAGCAAAGCTATGAAAAAGAATTATCTTTCATATTACATACATGAAGTTCTTATTTTTGACTAGGTGCTGATTATAATAAGAATGGATTCAGATGATGAAAAGCATTTGCTCATTAAAATGCTTTCCAAAATAGAAGGTAGGGAGTTTTAAATTATGCTTACATGACAACAAATGCTTGAATATATAAAAATGTATTGACCTAGGCAGACTTTTTTTTTTTTTTTTTTTTGACAGGCAGAGTGGACAGTGAGAGAGAGAGACAGAGAGAAAGGTCTTCCTTTGCTGTTGGTTCACCCTCCAATGGCCGCCAGGAGCCAGGAGCCAGGTGCTTTTCCTGGTCTCCCATGGGGTGCAGGGCCCAAGCACCTGGGCCATCCTCCACTGCACTCCCTGGCCACAGCAGAGAGCTGGCCTGGAAGAGGGGCAACCGGGACAGAATCCGGCGCCCCGACCGGGACTAGAACCCAGTGTGCCGACGCTGCTAGGCGGAGGATTAGCCTAGTGAGCCGCGGCGCTGGCGACCTAGGCAGACTTTTAAATTAATATATAATTAACATACCGTAACATTCATCCTTTAAAAGTATATAACTCAGATCCACCAGTTTTTAAATCAATGTAGATTATAAGTTGGCTATATAAATACACAATGCTGTATTTATGTTTTTATTATTAATAATTGATATATTTTAGAGATTGCCTATTTGTTGCTAAATAATACTGGTTTCTTACAACAACTCTGTGAATAGATTTTATTAATACAATTATAAAAATAAAAAAAGTAAACTTCATAAAGGTGATATAGCTTGACAAATCTCACAGGTGGTAAGTAAGTACCAGAATCAAGATTGAACCTAAATTTCTCTTGTTTCAATGTTGTTCAACTTCTCAGCCCACTACGGCCCTCACCGTCTACTCTTTCTACTTTGTGCCACGGTACTCATGTCTTACGTGTAAAAACTTATTGAAAAAAGGTTTTTTATTTTCTCCCGGACAGGTTTAACATTTACTGAACTTAATTCGAATCAAGGAAGAGATTTTCTGGAATCTAACATTCTATTAAATGGGTAAAAATCTATTTATTCATTTATGAAAAGCAAACATACCAACTCCATTGGAAAAGCAAAATTTCTCTTAGAATTTCTCCTAGAATTTAACTCACAAAGTTTAATAAAATTTGAAATGTATCAGTGTTTTTACCCTATTCCTGAAAAACGCTTTCTTTCCATAAAACACTTTAACTTAGAGAATTTACTTGAGAATTATGTATATTAGTGTCCAAAAATCTAAGTTCAATTTTATTTTCATATCTCCAAAGCATCAATGTTATCATTATTAGCAGTACAGAAGTGCCTATATAGACTTGCCTTTCTTTTTACCAATATATTTGCTCACTGGTATTTTTTGCATTTTCTCTCTTCTGGGTTCTTCTAATTCCTGAAGTACATCCTTGAGAAATCTTTCAGTGAGGGCCTGCTAGTAATAAATCTAGTATTGATTATCTAGAAAGTCCTTATTTTGTCTTAATTTGTATAAAAATTATTTATTTCTAATATTGGGAGCTAACTAATAAAAAAGGGTATAAAATAGAAACTAATAACATATATATCTTTTTAACTTTTAGATCGCTTTAGATAGAAAGCAGTAGTAGAAAATTTTAATTATAGTAGATCTGTGGTACTTGTTATAAAGTCAGGGTCTCTCCCATTTGAAGATGTGAAATAGCCCACAGTATTTTAATATCCTAGTATAAAAAAGTATCATCATCAAAAAAGAAAGGTTAAAAGAGATGAGTGGAATTGGAGAGCAAATCAACAGAGAATTCACGAGTGTCTTTCCACAACGAGCACACATAGAATAGAAAGAATAGCCAGAAACAGTCATCTTCTAGCATTCCAATTAAATAATGCCAAAAATATAATTCCATTTTCTTGATTTTCTTTTGTCTTCAGTACAAGTTCCTGTGTAATTGTACATAATCAATATATTGGAGCAGACGTTCCCTGGAATAATTTCTCATTTGTGGTGGAATACAATTATGTAGAAAACTCTTGTTGGACTACACACTGTGAAAAGTTGAATATTCCTTACCTGGCCTTAAAAATGGTTCTTCCGGACACAGTTTTGAAGAGTAAGAATATAAACAAAATCTTGTTTTTGCACCATTGGAATGAAAATGTTCTGTTTCCTATTTATGATCTATGTGGCATTAGAAGATTTGAGTTCAAGATGCAATCCCACCACTATCTGTATGACCTTGGACAAGTCATTAAACTGTCTCTTACCTTGTCTCTTACCATTTGTAAAGTAAGCTTTACTAATTACATTTATCTTCAACCCTTTATCTAACTTCTCAATCTTATTTATAATAGCACAATTTATTATAATTATATCCAATTTCAATCTGATGTTATTATGCAATAGTATTTTTTGTTGGTTTTTAGGGAAAAGTTACATAATGATATGTTGATTGACTTGGAACAGTTTAATATGCAACAAAAATTATCCACAAATACTTAGAAAAAAAGCCTAAAACCACTTCATGTATCATTTGATTTCTTTGCATTTCTCAATAACTCACTTATAACTAAGACTGTGAGTTCTCAGATCCATAAATCCCATATATTTTTTAGTCATAGTGTATCTCTGAATACTTGCCATCAGTTATTTTCTATCCATTTCAAATGTGGGTGGGAAATCTAAATAGACTGTGAGACATTCCAACCCAATTCCTTTTTTTTTATTTTTTTTATTTTTTATTTTTTGACAGGCAGAGTGGACAGTGAGAGAGAGACAGAGAGAAAGGTCTTCCTTTTGCCGTTGGTTCACCCTCCAATGGCCGCCGCGGCCAGCGCGCTGAGGCAGGTGCACTGCGCTGATCCGAAGGCAGGAGCCAGGTGCTTCTCCTGGTCTCCCATGGGGTGCAGGGCCCAAGCACTTGGGCCATCCTCCACTGCACTCCCTGGCCACAGCAGAGAGCTGGCCTGGAAGAGGGGCAACCGGGACAGAATCCAGCGCCCTGACCGGGACTAGAACCCGGTGTGCCGGTGCCGCAAGGTGGAGGATTAGCCTAGTGAGCCGCGGCGCCGGTCTCCAACCCAATTCTAAAAATACAGTTGTTCTTTGGAGTCTTTGATATGTAGAATTGAATATTAAATTGATTAAATAATTGAAATGTGGGAACACAAGAGGATAAAATTTAAGAAGCATTCCAATTTATATAAGACTTCTTTCATTCTCATAAAGATGAACTCATTTATTTTATTCTAACCAATTTCCTACTTAGGAGCCATTTACAATATTTTAATTTTTCACTATTTTACTACAAAATTTATAATTGCTTATATATGATGTATCTTTATTTACTTGTTGTAAGAGTTGCAAATTCCAAGAAGTGAAAAGAAATATTGGGTCAAAGGTATATACACATTGATATATTGCCAAATAGCCTTCCAGGAATCCTGTCCACATTTTTGTGTGTGAAGAAAGTCTGAGAATATTCCTTCCTCCATCTGTACTATAAGTATCATTAACCTTTTTTAAAAGATTTATTTATTTATTTGAGAGGTAGAGTTACAGAGAAAGGGAGAGACAGAGAGTTCTTCCGTCTGCTGGTTCACTCCCCAAATGACTGCAATGGCCAGAGCTGAGCCAATCTGAAGCCAGGAGCCAGGAGCTTATTCTGGGTCTCCCACGTGGGTGCAGGGATCCAAGGACTTGGGTCATCCTCCACTGCCCTTCCAGGCCACAGCAGACAGCTGGATAGGAAGAGGAGCAGCTGGGACTTGAACAGTGCCCAAATGGGATGCCAGCACTGAGGTGGAGGCTTAACCTACTATACCACAGTTCTGACCCATTATTAATATTTTTAAATATTTTATTTATTTATCTGATAGGTAGAGCAACAGAGGGAGAGAGAGAAAGGTCTTCCATCCACTGGTTCACTCCCCAAAAGGCCACTATGGCCAGAGCCGGACCAATCTGAAGCCCGGAGCCAGTTATGATTTTTATACTACTCCTTGAACATAAACCTACAAGGATACTTCAAAAGGTTTTAGCCTAGTGGTTAGTGTACTGTGTCCCATGGGACTGGTGTTGTGGTGCCTTGGGCTGGGCCACGCCTGTGACACCAGCCTCCCCTATGAGGACCAGTTTGAGTCACAGATGGTGCTCTTCCTACCCAGCTCCCTGCTATTGTGTCTGGAAGACCCAAGTGGAGATCCTGGCTCCTGGCTTCAGCTTGGCCCAGAAACCAGAAGATGGAAGATATCTCTCTCTCTCTCCTTCCCTCTCTCTCTCTCTCTCTCTGTGTGTGTGTGTGCATGTGTGTGTGTGCAACTGCCTTTCAAATAAATTGTGAAAAAAAAAAAATCCTCTGTCCCATATTGAAGTGCGTAGGCTTCATTCCTAGCTCTTGCTCCTGCTGATGAGAGTTCCCTCTCCCTCTCTCTTTCTCCACCACCCTCAAATAAAATTTTAAAAAAGAGGGGAAAGAGTTGTGGGAAAATGAAATTAAAAGATAATGTGTCTGGGGCTGGCGCTGAGGCGTAACAGGTAAAGCTGCCGCCTGCAGTGCCAGCATCCCATATGGGCACCGGTTCAAGTCCCGACTGCACCACTTCTGATCCAGCTCTCTGCTATGGCCTGGGAAAGCAGTAGAATTTGGGCTAATTCCTTGGGCCCCTGCACCTGCGTGGGAGACCTGGAGGAGGCTCCTGGATCCTGGCTTCGGATTGGCACAGCTCTGGCTGTTGCGGCCAATTGGGGAGTGAACCAGCGGATGTAAGATCTCTCTCTCTCTCTGCCTCTCCTTCTCTTTCTGTGTAACTCTTTCAAATAAATAAATTTTTAAAAATAATGTCTTTTCAATGAACTTTTTGAAGTACCCTTCTATTATTTTCATATTTAGTGAGAGAGACAGGATGGGGGATGGAGAATGAGAGAGAGAAGGAGAGAGGAAAAGATTAGAAAAAAAAGAGAAATAATTATAAATTTTCTCTTATAGGAAACACTTTACTGGATGGATTTGGTGATTTCCTTCTGGAAATTCAGATTCCATATGTGTTTTTTGCATCTGATGGACTTCTTAATATTCCAGAAATACTTCAACTGCTAGAATCCAAGTAGGTTATTGGTTTTCTAATTGTAGTAAAGATGTATGCATATTCTGTAAGGCTATATATTATGCTCTTTTGTGGCACTGTATCTGATTCAAGCCTGGAATTATATCACATAAGAATAGTTTTCCAGAGATTGTATATAGATTTATACTTCTCTCCCTGTACTATCCCCTCATAGTTATTGAATATCATCTTTTTTGGCAATGTTTACCAATTCTGTGGGCAAAATAATATTTAATTGTTACTTAATTTTGTGCTTTATTTATGTTTCTTTTGTTACCTGCAAATATGAAGTTTTTTCTTGTGAATTTTATGTCCATATCTTTGGTTAATAGATAATGTTGAGAATGAATATTCTTGTGTAGGGAACTTTTAAAAAGATTTTATTAATTAATTAATTTATTTATTAAAAAGGCAAAGTGACAGAGGGAGGAGGAGAGAGAGCATCCTCTTTCATCCACTGGTTCATTCCCCAGATGACTGTGACAGCCAGATATGGGCCAGGCCAAACCCAGGATTCAGGAACTTCATCCTGTTCTCCCACATGGATGGCAAGGGTCCAAGTACTTGGGCCATCTTCCACTGCCTTCCCAGGCACATTAGCAAAAAGCTGAATCAGAGAGGGAGTAGCCAGGACTTAAACTGGCACTCCCATGTGCGATGCTAGTGTCATCGAAAGTGGTAGCTTATATCCCACAGGCCACAACACTGGCCCTCTTGTTTAGGGAGACTTTAAACACTATCTGGGAAATAGGACTATGAAGTACTAAATTAATTCTGCAATTCTTAGATCTTTAGTTCTAAGGTCATACCAACACTGAGTGTTTTAAAATCATGAAACACTTTATTATAACAAACAAGTTGTCACAGAAATGTTGGACCTTGGGCTGTATATCAAGGAAGGATAGCTGTGCTGTGATCTTAGTTAAATGCAAACCTATATTCCATGCCTTTGCTTTTTATACCTTAAGGCTAGGGGGCATTCATAGAAAACTATGATCTTATAAAAAGCAATTAAAATGAAGGCCAAATTTAAGGAAAAGGAAAATTATGACAAGTGCTGAATGTTTTAGCCTTATAACACAGTGTTTTGATTTCATGAATTATTATTCAAGGAACTATAATAAATTGGTCAGACAGTTGTAATAGTATTATGTGAAATAATATTTAATACATTGCCTAAGGCAACACATCTGAACTAATTTATTTTATATTCTGAATAAATCATAATTTCATTCCTCAAGTATATAAAACAGAATAAATTGATTTATGAAAGAAAAAGCACAATATTTCAAATAAGTTAGCATACATGAGGGTAATACAACTTTTCTTGAAGAATTTTTTCTTAGATATTTCATTTTTTTCAAGAATATTGTGTTTTACAGTTACAATATCACACTGGTGGAAAGATGCTACAGTGAGTCATTAAAACTCTTTGGAAGCACAGAGCATTATGTAGTGGTGACAGTTGATGAACACACTGCTGTCATTTTGCAGGTAAAACTATTTAGTAAAAAATACTAAACTCAGATAAATAAAAATATACATAACCAGCTGATTTGTTATTATCTTCTTATAAAGAGCTTAACATAATTTATCAGAAACTTCTTTTAAATTTTGCAGATGGGTTGTAGGTGCTAAAATCATCAGTGTATAAAACTGATTATTACTAAGCTCTTTTGAGGTCACAATTTATAACATATTTTTAAAAAGCAAATTATTATTGTATGTTGACCTATTTTTAAATACAAATATAGAAACATTACAGTGTTGGAAACTTTAAAAGCATATCCCACCCACTATATATTAATTGATAACTGGTAATACGGAATTTTCTCTAAGGTAGATAGGAATTTTCCTCTAAGTAAGCTGATTTTATTTTTTAAGATTTATTTATCTATTTGAAAAGCAGTTACAGGGAGAGGGAGATACAGAAAGAGAGAGGTCTTCTGGTTGTGGGTTCACTCCCCAAAGTGGCTGCAAGGTGGGAGTCTGGCTGAAGCCAGAGGCCTGGAACTCCATCCACATCTTCCACAGGACTGGCAGAGGCCCAACACTTGAACCATCTTCTGCTGCTTTTCTAGGGACAGTAGCAGGAACTGGATCAGAAATAGAGCAGCCAGTACTCTAACCAGTGTTCATATGGGATGAAGTCATGACAGACAGCTGCTTAACCTGTTGTGCCTCAACCTGGGCCCAAGTAAGCTGGTTTTTAAGCAGAGATAAATTATCTTCAAAAACGTGCACAGTTTAGAATTTAAGATATCTAACGTCTTGACTGAATCTTCCTGGTGTGTTTTCTTGATTGGAGTACCAATTGCAAAGAAATTAATGAGGTGGGAGTGGAGAATAGAAACCAGGCTTGATGGTACCAAGTTAAGTTAATGACAGATATTGTAATGTACAAGTCCAATTTTCTGAGCATGTGTTACCATATAAGAACTGTAAGGTAGAAAACTAGAGCTCTGTTTGATAGGTTTCTAAGAGATACAGTCTTATTTAAAGTTCTTAAACAATTATTTTTTCCATTTGTCCCAATTGTTTTAACCCACAGTTACATAATTTATTGATTAGAGGAAAGATATTTCCTGAATTACTCACTCTATCAAAAATCACTGTGTTAAAGGACAAGGGAATTCCAGACTATTAGATAAAGATCCAGTTGCCAAAATTGGGTCACTCTGTAGCCTATTTTTTTCATATTTAGGATGTCTGGAGTTTTTTTTTAAAACCTTTAAACTAACAGTATTTTATTTAAGATAAACTGATTTCATGTAATTCACATATACATGAATATATATATATATATATCCCTCCTGTCCATGATTCCACCCTTCCTCCTCCTTCTCGAATCACCTCTCAATTTTTAAAATGATCTACTTTCAGTTTACTTTTATTCATAAAATTAACCCTACACTAAGTAAGAAGTTCAACAAATAGTAAGAAAAAAAAGTTGTTCCTCAGCAGTAGAGACAAGAGCTATAAACAATCATTGAATTTCAAAATTTGCATTTCATTCCTATACATTACATTTTTAGTACTCTGTTACCACAGATCAGGGAAAACACATGGCATTTGTCTTTTGGGGACTGACTTATTTCACTAAGTATAATTGTTTCCAATTGTATCCATATTGCTGCAAAAGATGGGATTTCATCCTTTTTTTACAGCTGAGTGGTATTCCATGCTGTATGTATGCCACAGTTTCTTTATCCAGTCAGTTAATGTACATATGGGTTGATTCCATATCCAACTATTACGAATTGAACTGCAGTAAACATGGGGTACAGATAACTCTTTCATATGCTGGTTTCATTTCCTTTGGGTAAATTCTAGGAATGTGATTGCTGGGTAATATGGTAGATCTATTTTCAGCTTTTTGAGCTGTCTTCTACAGTGGCTATACTAGTTTACATTCTCACCAACAGTGGAATAGGGTACATTTTTCCCCACATCCTCACCAGCATTTATTGTTTGTTTGATTCTGTATAAGAGCCATTCTAACTGGGGTGAGATGTAACCTCATTGTGGTTTTGATTTGCATTTCCCTGATGGCTAGTGATTCTGAGAATTTTTTTCATGTGTCTGTTGGCCATTTAAATGGCCTCTTTTGAAAAATGCCTGTTCAAGTCTTTCGCTTATTTCTTAACTGGATTATTTGTTTTGTTATTGTTGAGTTTCTTGAGCTCTATATAGATAGTTAACCCTTTATCAGTTTCATAGTATGAGAATATTTTCTCCCATTCTGTTGGTTGCCTCTTCATTTTGCTGAGTGTTTCCTTTGCGGTGCAGAAGCATCTCAACTTGTGTAATCCCATTTATCTATTTTGGCTTTGATTTGCCTATGCCAGTGTTTTACAGAGTTTCCCCAATGTTCTCCTCTAGCAATTTGATGGTATCAGGTCATAGATTTAGATCATTGATCCATTTTGAGTTGATTTTTGTATAAGGTGCAAGGTAGGGGTCTTGTTTCATGCTTCTGCATGTGGAAATTCAATATCCCAGCACCATTTGTTGAAGAGACTGTCCTTTCTCCAGGGATTGATTTAGCTCCTTTGTCAAAGATTAGTTGGTTGTAGATGCATGGATTGAATTCTGAAGTTTCTATTCTGTTCCATTGATCTATGTCTATTTTTGTGCCAGTACCAAGCTGTTTTGATTATAACTGCCCCATAGTATATCTTGAAATCTGGTATTATGATGCCTCCAGCTTTATTTCTGTTGTTTAAGGTTGATTTAGCTATTCAGAGACTCTTGTGTTTCCATATTAATTTCAGCATCATTTTTTCTAGATATGAGAAGAAAGTTATTGGTATTTTGATTGGAATCACACTGAATCTGCAAGTTGCTTTTGGTAGTATGGACATTTTGATGATGTTGTTTCTTCCAATCCATGAACATGGAAGATTTTTCCACTTTTTTGTGTCTTCTATTTCTTTCTTTAATGTTTTGTAATTTTCACCGTAGAGATTTTTCATCTCCTTCATTAAATGTATTCCAATGTATTTAAATTTTTCTGTAGCTATTTTGAATGGGATTGAGCTTATAAATTCTTTCTCAGCCATGGTATTGTCTGTGTATACAAAAGCTATTGATTTTTGTGTGTTAATTTTATATCCTGCCACTTTACCAAACTCTTTTATGAGTTCCAATAGTTTCTTTGTGAAGTCTTTTGGTTCTCCTATATATAGAATTATGTCATCTGCAAATAGAAATAATTTGACTTCCTCCTTCCCAATTTATATTCCTTTGATTTATTTTCTTGCCTAATGGCTCTGGCTAAAAGTTCCAGGACCATATTGAATAACATTGGTGAAAGTGGGCATCCTTGTCTGGTTCTGAATCTTAGTGGAAATGCTTCCAACTTTTCCCCATTTAATAAGATGCTGGTTGTGAATTTATCAGAAATTGCCTTGATTGAGTTGAGGAATGTTCCTGTTGAAGCTACCATTAGCTGTTTTACATTTACTATGGCTTTTCCCCCTACTACTTCCTATGTGATTTTAATTTTTCTGTGAAATGGAGCTCTATTCCATGCTTCTTTTCAGGTTATCATTTATATATAAGAGATTCTCAAAATATTATAATACTTTCATAACGACTAACGAATCTTTTATTTCATGATAGAACCTAGAAGAATTGAATTGTGAGAAGGCATCAGACAATATCATTATGAGACTCATGGCATTATCATTCCAGTACAGCTATTGTTGGCTAATTTTATACAAAAAAGAAACACTAAATTCAGAGTAAGTAAACATTTTTTCATCCAAAGTCATATTCATATTAAGTTATTCATTTTTAAATAAAAATAGCTATGTAGATTTTCTGCTTGCTCATCTAGTTTAGGTCAGAGGTTCTCAAGATGGAGGAATAGTCATAGGAAAATAAATTGGAATTTTGGAGCTAATACATGTTCTCCTGTGCAATCATTCTCCCCACCCCATCTCACTAAGAATTGCTGTTGCTTTAGTATTGTATTTGAAATACTGAAGTTGTCTGAAAAAGAGAAGTCAGCCTTAAATCATTTCACTTTAAAATTTTATAATCAGACTATCATCTTGCTCTGCTTTGTTTCATTGATGTGCTTAATTGAGAAAATATAAAAAATCCATTCCGAAACACCGACTGAAGTTGTCATTGTGTGTGTCTTCTTGCCTTTACCTCTAAGCATTATGAACCAAATGTCCTAACTTTCTCCTTTTATTCTCTGCCATTTGGCTTTTCCCCCTACCTCTAGACTGATCTCTGTCTCTCAAAGGTCACTCATGACTTTGTTATAATCATCTCAAAACTATTTTTATATTTCACTGCTTTAAAGTATCTTTTAAAATTTTATTCATTTTATTTATTTGAAAGGCAGACAGGCAGGCAAGCAAGCAGAGAACTCCTATTCACTGGCTTGGCCTGCAAATGCCCACAACGCCCAGGGATGGACCAGGCCAAACTCAGGGACCAGGAACTAAACCCAAGTCTCCCACATGGGCAGCAGGAGCCCAGCTACTGGAGACATCACTTGCATCCTCTGAGGGTGCATATTAGCAGGAAGCTGGAATGGAGAGTGAAGCCACGTCTTGAACCCAGGCACTCCAGTGCTCTCAAGTATTACATAGTTGTCAATGCTTGCTTTCTTGGAACTTTCCATGTAGGTGACTCTTCAATGTTTTTGATCTCTTCTCTTTGTGAAATATCTCTGTCTTTGCCTATTCTTCTTCGTCCCAGTCTCCAGACATATTTGTTGAGTTCTCTTTTTTTCCTACCTATCCAGTAGAAATTTTACTCCTCCTATAGCTCAGTCATCATCTCTCTATATATTATTATTATAATTATTTCTGCAATTGCAGTCTCTCTTTAGAATTCCTGACATGCATCTTTAATTTTCTGTTATTTTGATCAAGAGATTCCACAAATTTCCAAAATCAACATGTTCAAATATTTATTCATTGTATTCTCTATCTCTTCCAAACTTGTATCTTCTCTTACCTGCACTTACATTTTTGGCATTGTCTTTCTTTTGATCACCAAAACTGGGAAACAAATCCTGTAGATTCAAATACTGGACTTTCCCTTCTATCTATCTTCTTCCTCCACTTATTAACAGTGTCTTAGTTCAGATTGTCATATTGTAGATGAACTTTTTTTATTTTAATTTATTTGAAAGAGAGAAGGCGAGACAGAGAGAGAGCGAGCGAGCGAGAGAGAGATGTCTGCCATCAGCTGGTTCACTCTCCAATTGGCTGCAATGGGTGGAGCTGTGCCGATCCGAAGCCAGGAGCCAGGAGCTTCCTCTGGGTCTCCCACATGGGTGCAGGGGCCCAAGGACTTGGACCATCTACTACTGCTTTCCTAGGCCAGACCAGAGAGCTGGAAAGGAAGTAGAGCAGCCGGGACTAGAACTGGTGCCCATATAGGATGCTGGCACTGCAGGCGGTGGCTTTACCCACTACGCCACAGCGCCGGCCCTGTAGATGAACTTTTATGAGACTACTAACTGTTTTCACACCTCCAGATGTCTCTCATTGTTCCTGTCCAAAATCTATCATGGAGCCAATTGATATTCCTAGAACAAGACTCATTATTTCACTCTGATAAGAGGCCTTCACTGACTTACTCATTATTTACTGAATGCAAATACAGTATTCACTTTAATATTCAAAGTCTTCAGAATAAGATGGCAGCCTCTATTTTCAGGCTTAGTTTTTACGGGTTTTCCATTTTAACTGAAAGAACTGCTCAATGCCTTGCGTACGTGTTCTTGGTTTCCCACTTCTACTTTGGCTCATAATTTCTCTCTTCCTGAAACATTTCCCCCTTCCTCCTGCTATTTCATCTGGTGAAATGTTGCCCATCTTTCAGGACCTTTCCCCAAACATCACTTTTTCTATTCTGCCTTTCCTTAACATGCCACTCACACACACAGGTATCAGATCTGTCTGTGCTCTCTCTTTGACCTTTTTCTCCTTTCACTCCTTAGTTCTCTTGTTTTTTCCTCATCTGTGGTATGTCTGTATTATCTTTTTGGAGTACTTATAGCACTGAGCACATTGCTTTCACTTGATAGATGCTTGGTAAATATCCCTTGATTGAATGAATGAATCTTTCCTACCAAATTGGAAATTAGTTTTACTCATTTTTTATCCCTGCAGAGCCACATCATTCATGATAGAAATTTTTAACACATTCCTTAATTTAATTATCATAAAAAGAATAGAAAACAATTACATGATATAAAACTATCTTCTTTGACATTACCTGTATGATACTTTCTCTTTATTGACTTTCTGATTCCTCTATTTTATTTACCCACTGTACAATTATTATCATGTGAGGATGAGTATAAGTTAGAATGTAAGAATCTAAACATCTTGTGTTTTTATTGCTTCTATCAACAAATAATCTCTAGCAAGTCATTTAGCGTAGTTTTATTTATCACAACTGAAAAGTAAAATAATATTTCAGCCTAAAACCTTCATTTTGAGCAATAATAAAGGCTCTAAGGCCTTTTAAGCTTGGAACTTTTTGTAAAGCATTTTTTTTTTTTTTGACAGGCAAAGTGGACAGTGAGAGAGAGACAGAGAGAAAGGTCTTCCTTTGCTGTTGGTTCACCCTCCAATGGCCGCCACGGCCGGCGCACTGCAGCCGGCGCACTACGCTGATCCGATGGCAGGAGCCAGGTGCTTCTCCTGGTCTCCCATGGGGTGCAGGGCCCAAGCACTTGGGCCATCCTCCACTGCACTCCCTGGCCACAGCAGAGAGCTGGCCTGGAAGAGGGGCAACCGGGACAGAATCCGGCGCTCTGACTGGGACTAGAACCTGGTGTGCCGGTGCCGCAAGGTGGAGGATTAGCCTAGTGAGCCCTGGCGCCGGCCTCTTGTAAAGCATTTTAAACTTTGTCCAGAACCTGGAAGAGTTCTGTGTGAATATCTGATTTGGACAGTTTAAAAATCACTTTTAGATTATTATCTACAAGTTCTAGTGGTGCAATTGAAGTACAGGGGAGAAAAAAAGAAAATTCAGGCTTATTTTTAATCAGATTTTTGTGAAAAAAGTAATTATGTGGTACTCAGAGATAACTTTTATATTCAGGATATGAAGAGTTATCTTTTATTCACAATAACATATTATTATAAAATATAATGATTTTTGGCTGGCGCCGTGGCTCACTAGGCTAATCCTCCGCCTGCGGTGCCGGAACCCCGGGTTCTAGTCCCAGTCTGGGCGCCGGATTCTGTCCTGGTTGTTCCTCTTCCAGTCCAGCTCTCTGCTGTGGCCCGGAAAGGCAGTGGAGGATGGCCCAAGTGCTTGGGCTCTGCACCTGCATGGGAGACCAGGAGGAAGCACCTGGCTCCTGGCTTCAGATCGGCGCAGCACACCAGCTGTAGCGGCCATTTGGGGGGTGAACCAATGGAAAAGGAAGACCTTTCTCTCTGTCTCTCTCTCTCTCTCACTATCTAAATCTGCCTGTCAAAAAAAAAATGATTTTTAAACTTTTATGCATGTCAGTTCTATAGCTTTATAATATATACTTTTTAAATTAATTTATTGTTTATTTTTGTTAATTTTTAAAATTAATTAGAACTTATCTTTGGCAAATGGCAGGGCAAAGTTACCACTTATCATTAGTCACTTTGAACGTGAATGGCCTGAACTGTCCAGTTAAAAGACACCAATTGGCTGATTGGGTTAAGGAACAAAACCCATCTATATGCTGCTTACAAGAAACACATCTTTCCAACAAAGATCCATACAGACTGAAAGTGAAAGGCTGGAAAAAGATATACCATGCCAACAGAAATGAAAAAAGAGCGGGCGTAGCCATCTTAATATCGGACAACATAAACTTTACCACAAAAACTGTTAAGAGAGACAAAGAGGGACACTATATCATGATTAAGGGATCAATTCAACAGGAAGATATAACAATTATCAATGTATATGCACCTAACTACAGGGCACCAGTTTATCTAAAAGATTTATTAACGGACTTAAAGGGAGACTTAGACCCCAATACAGTAGTACTGGGGGACTTCAATACTCCACTCTCAGAAATAGACAGATCATCCAGTCAGAAGATCAACAAGGATACAGTAGATTTAAACGACACCATAGCCCAAATGGATCTAACAGATATATACAGAACTTTCAATCCTACAGCTAAAGATTTTACATTCTTCTCAGCAGTACATGGAAGCTTCTCTAGGATTGACCACATACTAGGCCATAAAGCAAGTCTGAGCAAATTCAAAAGAATTAGAATCATACCATGCAGCTTCTCCGACCATAAAGGAATGAAGTTGGAAATTAGTAACTCAGGAATCCCTAGAGCATACGCAAACACATGGAGATTGAACAACATGCTCCTGAATGAACAATGGGTCATAGAAGAAATCAAAAGAGAAATCAAAAACTTTCTGGAAGTAAATGAGGAGAACAGCACAACATACCAAAACTTATGGGACACAGCAAAAGCAGTGTTAAGAGGAAAGTTTATATCAATAGGTGCCTACATCAAGAAATTGGAAAGACACCAAATAGATGAGCTTTCAATTCACCTCAAAGATCTAGAAAACCTACAGCAAATCAGACCCAAATCTAGTAGGAGAAGAGAAATCATTAAAATCAGAGAAGAAATCAACAGGATTGAATCAAGAAAAACATTACAAAAAATCAGCCAAACGAAGAGCTGGTTTTTTGAAAAAATAAACCAAATTGACACCCCATTGGCCCAACTAACTAAAAAAAGAAGAGA